CCTTCATCTCCAGGTAATTTGTGCTTCACTCCGAGTTTATAACTCGTCTCCTGTCAGACTGAGAGCGGGTTTAAAGCTCTGCCATCAGGGAAAGGCTGTTTCCCATGGTGCTTTGTGTTTGTCTTCTTGCCTGCAGGGATATAATGACAAGTGTGGACCACCCATGTCTGCTTTAGCCTCAGTGTTATTTAAGGAATTCCCCCAGCTTCAGTGTGTGTGTGTGTGTGTGTGTGTGTGCGCACGTTTAAAAACCTTAAGCTCCTGTTTATGTTTGGCATGCTCGTGCTTAAGCCGACGTGATGAACTTTTATTTTGAAAGGCTGTCACAGTGACTTAAAGTGATTACACTGTAATAACTAATAATTGATCATTCTCTCTTTTTATTACAAACAGTGTTACATTATGTTTAAACTAACATTCACACAAAAGTCGACGTGAATATTATTGTGGATCTGTTTTCAGCGTCTGTGTTTGTTGGGAGCAAATATTGTGTTTCTGATCTTTGTGAAGTGTTTGCTGTTGTGTGTCAGTGCTCTATATAATTCATTTTATGTGTTAACAAGAAGTAGATTATTCAAAACCTATCATTTAATTATTTTCATATAACATTTGTAAACCTAAAAAGGGTTTAATGATATTAATATATATTTTTTGCATTTCACAGATTTAAACCATTGCTGCATGTGCCACTTAAGTCATATAGCGACATAAATATACTGTGTTTTCGCACTATGATGCTACTTCAGAGGCACTTGGAGAGAGTGTTTGTTTTATTGTTTTATTGTGAATTAGTGCTGAAAGTTGCTGTTTTCCCGCCATAATTAGCGTGCATTAAGTGATTTTCCACCTCGTTAGCCTGATGTTAGCCCGACTCTGACAGCAAACCCTTCTGTGGCGGGAGACGACGTGGCTCGGCAGAGAAAATATACTGATATCAGCACAAGAAGGCAATTAAACACAAGAGGCAAGTTGATTCGCTCAAAATAAAATTAAATAATTAGCAAAGTAGAGTGCTGGAAAGTCAAGAGAATGGCGCCCAGTTTTACGATTAAAGGTTTCTACTCCAGTTAAAATTGCAACAAAGTTATGAAAGGCCTGAATAATTGTGAATATTTCAGTGTTGGAATTGTACGCTGTATAAAAACAATGAAATTCATGGTCCATAGTGTGCAGGCTTCTTGTTAATAAATTTAGTTTATAAAATGAATGAAATAAATCCCCCCTTGATACTTTGAAAAGTCAGAGAGTCATCATTTTGGCCGGGTGGCGGCGCTCTCTTTGGCCCAAAAGGTCTCACTGTGCTGGGCAGGAGCTCTGGCAAATGCCTCGGCGTTAGCTCTGGAGCCTCCTGCTAGCTAACCTCTGTCAAGAGAATCAGTGTTTTCATGCCCTCTTATTCTGCGTAGTCCTGAAGACGAAACAGAGCTCGGGTCAGGAGATGAGCTGACTTAAGGTGGAGTGACCTCACGGGGGTCAGAGGATCTGCCGTGCAGGAGCGTCCGCCGCCGCAGCTTGGCGACAAACCCACTTCCTGGCTCGGCTCGTTTCCAGGGGTACAAACTGCTGTCCATGTGTTTTTTTCTGCAGCTCAACGCCGTACATGTGTTTCCAACTTGTTGAGCATCCTGGGTGAGGTGTTCAGGAGGCCTGTGTGTGTGTGTGTTTGTGCGTGTGTGTGTGTGTGTATGGGGGGGGCACTCTTTACTCAGGAAGCTGGATTTACAGGAAATGTGGTCTAAATTTATTAAATCATGGGCGTTTTAAAAGCGCCGTAACCAGAGGAAATCACAGCTGCGTCAGGATTAGGATATTTGCAATCAAAAAACAAAGGAAAGTTCTGGTTCCGGCCCGTCTTCAGGCCGAGCGGGTGTCGTACTCGTGTCCTACTTTCTCTCAGATTCTTATTCATCACTCAAAGTCACTCATCCACTCATCCAGTTACTCACTCACTTACTCTCTTTCAGTCTCTGCCCGCATCCCATCTTCTTTTTCCATCTTCAGTCTGACATTACCTCTTCAATGAAGTGTCGACCTTCGACCTCTCAGAGATGGACCTCTTTCCGCTGACTGACGCTTCCTTCCTCGCCGTCTTTCTTCCCGGCAGAGGCATGTCATGTGAAGTGGGTGGCCATATTAGGAGATGGCGAGTGAACACGCACATGTGAGACCTCGTACCTCCTGTTTGACATCTGAAAAGGGGACGAGTGCAGAGCCGGTGTCGGTCGCTGCTTTATAGTCCTTTCAAGTGGGACTGTGGGTGTGTGGAAAAGCCCGGGAACGCCAAATAACGACATGAAAGGAAAGAAAATTCCTCACATTTTTCCTCATTATACTTTCAGCTCGAGGATTTGAAGTTAAAAACCTTTTCAGACTGGAAACATTCAGAGCTAAACACTTATCCAGAGCGTCTCTACGTCTTTGATGGAAATCTTCAAATTTCTGAGACAGCCTGTGAAATTATTGGAAAATTGATCACGGCTCAAAGTGCCTGAAGGCTCCTGTCGATGCAGACCTGTGAGTCAGAGCTGTCTGCTGTGACACACGCTGACAGCGCTTCTTGTTTTCTGCAGCCGCTGCGTGGCCTCGGGCCTCCGGGAGGAAACACACACACACACACACACACACACGGCTCTGAAGTGTTGCTCAACACAGCTGTGGGTAAACAGGCTGTGTTTAGATGCCCTTGTCTCAACTTGCACACACACACACACACACACACACACACACACACACACACACACACACACACACACACACACACACACACATATAATACACAAAAAGGCAACAAACCCTGTGGAGTGGGCGTACTCGCAAAGCCACACCAAACGCTCTTGCCACGACTTGTTGCAGTGAAGGAAATTGCACAGTTGGACTCAAATACAACATAATAACATGCATGCACATCTTCACTCTGCAGCTCAGACATGCACACTAGCGTGTCAGTGTGTTAAGTGATCGGTGACATCGCCGCTTCGTGTGATTGACTTCAGATTAAAAGAGCTGATGTCAGAGGAAACTTCAAAACTTCAGGCTGTTGAGATTTCTGTCTGATAGTTGATCACAGAGCAGTGATTCTCAAACTCTGGATCTTATAACTCACCTCAGTGTTTGGTGTCATTATGAAACAGACTATCACACTTTGTGCACATATAAGCATAAATCAGTGGAATCAAGTTTATGCACTTTTCAATTAAATAGTCTTTTGTATTTCCATGGAACAACCCTTTTGTCCCTTGTAATTACAGTCTCATAACAAAAACAGGTTTGTGAATTAGTATTATTATAATTTTTATCTTGTTGAAGGTGGTTTATAACTAACAGCAATATGTTTTAACCTGCAAAATCTGCTCAGTGCACAGAGAAGAACTGTGATTGGTTGGTTAAATCTTACTTGGTAATTCACTACAGTGTCAAATACTTGTAATAATGGGGTGCAGGAAATTGTATGTTTGCAGATATGCTGATATTTTGCCCGATATTGGTATCAACACATTTTTTTCTTCATCATTTATGGACACTACTGTTGCGTTTACACTAGTCATGAAAACTTTTAAACTCTCTGAATTTTCACTTTTTTGAACGTTTGACTCAATCCAAATCGCGTCTACCGGAGAGATAACATTCTCTTCGACCCTGTTTATCAAACATGGCGAGGATTTGTTCACTCTATAATCTGACCTCGTCACTCACTTCCCTCCAAGCGAGCTCCTTTAGTTCCTGTTTTGATATAAAAATAAGTGGGATGCCGTAGATCAGCTAGCAGCTGAGATCCTTGGATTCAGACTTTATAACTCTGGAGAGTAAGTGAATGAAGCAATGATGGGATGAATGTGTTTCAATGTTGCGTCAATCACACATCAGTGTTGTTTTCGTTGACGATAACCTTGACGAAAATATTTCATCAACATCATCGTCAACGGAAACAACACTGCAGAATAAATGTTTAGCGTTTGACTGAAGAAATGCTCATGAATTTTGCAACTCTGTTTGCTAACCTTTTTTGTCTCGTCAACGAAAACGCACATTCGTCTCGTTACATTTTATCATCTAAGACTTCTGTTTAGCTCGTCAACATCACGTCTTCGTCATGGAAAAAAAGGGGCGTTGACGAAATATTTTCGTCAAAGAAAACAACACTGTCACACATCAATCTGCTCAATTTGTACCACTTCATTTGCGTCATTTGTAAACAAGAACATACGTGTCTTAAATTTGACTTCACATTATTCAGTCAAAGATCAGATTCAGATTACTGTGACTGAATCTCTCCTTCGCTGGGATTGTCTGTGTACTCATAAACATGAATCCAAACAAACATCATTTGATTCAGTCTTAAATGATGAATATAATCTTTCGCTGTTCAGGATGACGGCTCTTTAGGAAACTTTAAATATTACTGCTAAAGCTTGTTGTAACGACAGCGTCTCCATTTATTGGTTTCCGTCTGTTTAAACTGAACGTCATTTATGAAGCGTTGATTATTTTTCTTAAATCGACATCATCTCCGCCTCCACAGAAACCGCTGCTGAACTTTCCCCCTCACTGACTCAGAGTTACTGAACATGGATCTGCGGTGTCAAGGATCTGCTGGTGTTTAAAACCGTCTGAACTCAGTCGGGAGGAAGCGCTGTGATCTGGTGAAACATATACAGCAGTTTGTCACGGCGGCCGCCACATTCCAGGATGTTGTTCCCTGAAAACAGGTCAGTCATCTGCAGCCTGTCATGACTGCTGATAGAGACCGAGTCTACCCGTCTGTCTGACTCACACTTTGTTTTCTTTGATTCAAACTGTTGGTGAAACCAGACAGATGGCGTAATCTTTACAGCTGACAGGTACAGACGGATGGGAGGTAGCGATGAATACGCTAAACTGGGTGTCAACTGGTTTAGACGCTGACTCTGAAGCGTCTCCTGCTGGTTTATCTTCCATATTTTCGTCCAGCAGTCCAGCATTTGGAGTTACACTGTAGGGCTGGGCGATCTGGCCTTAAATCAATATCACGATATATTGATCAGTTCACCTCGATAACGATAAATAGACGATAACTACTCCACAAGCTGCTCACCCCCTCCCACAATAACTTCGTCTACTTCAGCCGCTCCAAAAACCAACTTTGATTTATTTATTTTTTTGACACAGAATATCCTAATATGGGCAAAATGACATTGGTTATTGTTGTAAATTTCAGTATTGGTAAATGTTCGGTTTATCGCCTAGCCCTATTACACCTAGTTACATCTCTCCAGTTGACAGGTCAGGGAGTAACTTACCTTAAACTGCAGAAGCTGCCATATCGTCTCATGTTATCTCAAAGAATAAAGGACTGTGATTGGTCCGGTGTATCTGACACCGAATCACTGCGGTTCCAGATCCACCTGCCAGTGAAATTAAGAATCTGTGAACATCGGTCAAACACTGAGAAACTCTCAGGTAGAGAAACTTAAAGACGCCCTGAGTTTTCTGCAGATATTCCTCTGTGTCTCGTCTAGACAAACCGCTGCTCGACTTCATCCTGCTCCGATTTAGAGTTCACTGCGGCCCATTTTTTGCACAGGATATGAGGGTTCAAACTCTGACTGAGAAATTGTTCTTGGCAGCGGGTCTGCTCAGCTGTGTCGAGCTGGACGGAGATCAAGTCCTAACCACTGTCCCACCAGTCCATCCTGACTGACCCGTGGGCGGATTTAACAGGCAGCAGAACACAGGGCTGCCGCCGCCGCCTCCTCCTCATGACGTCCGAGAACACCATCAGACGGGTGGAGGAGGTCTGATAAAAGTAAAAGCTGCTCCCTAGTCAGTCCTTCATGGTCTATTTCCCTCCTAAAGGTAATATTTTCACATCCACTGGATCCATTTTCCTCTGAGACCCCGAAGAGTCCAGTCCTAATGAGATTTGTGTGAATGTAAGCTATAAGGAGACTGAAATGTTGTGGCAAGTGCAACCGTGCCGTTAAACCCGGGGCCTTATTTGAGTTGGAGAGGAGGGGTTTGGATCTGATGTGTTTTATGATGCATTTCTCCACTGTCAGCCAACTGCTCCATTATCCCCCATCCATGTTCAGACTCTGCTTTTATCCCTCACAAAGCCTCGACCACAGAGAAATGGGATGGGGCCGATTTCAAACAACAGCTTTGGTTTAATGTTTAATGTAATAAGAAATGACTTTTTAAACGCCGCTCTGTATACCGTAACTCGCTCCATGAGTTTAATGTGCAGTCTTTGGCGTTTGAGGCTCATTTTTCTTAGTTTGATTAAAAGTAGGAGTGATTTACAGCTGCAGTGGGAGTCTGTTTTGGCATGTGGGCGTCTTATTATGATTTTTGCGCCCCTCATTTACGTCATCTCTGTATCAAGCCGTGTCAGACATCTTGTTGAGTGTATTGTACCGCTGGTGAAATATTACATTTCGGCTGTAACTCGAAGATATTTCTCCTGCAAGTCATTCGCTCCAGGCTGCCGACTGACAGATTAAGAGTCATCGTGGCACTCGAGGTTTCGAGATGAGAGGTTTATGTAGACGCAGGCACACAGACGGACACTCCCTCTTTCATTTTTCATGTGGCAACTCAGCAATTTTCTGCAGAAGATGTATTGTTTTTGTTAAAAAATGGGCTTGGAGGCATCTCTGTTTACACCACCAGGAGGAGTTACATAAAGAGCGGAGTTTAAGCGGCTCGGTTCTTACTAAAGTGGATTTGAGATTTACCTCTTGTCCTCATGAATCAAATGAAACTCCACCTGCCTGCTGCATGTAATCACACTAAATCAGCAGTTTGCTAAACAGGCAGCAGCGTAATAAGCCTTAACCGGTATAAAGCACAGTGATTATCCTGCATGTAAAGCTTCTGCTGCACTTCATTTGCATCTCGTGTGTAATTTAGAGCCCTAATGAACATTTTTGTGGACGGCAGTAAGGGAAGTGGTGCCACTTATCTCCAGCGGTGGTCTCACCTCAGCCTGAGAAACTCCTGTATAACGAGGTGAATATGTCAGGTTTAAACCCCCAAACTGCAAATACAAAAAGTCCAGAAACATAAGAATTAGGAATAATGAGGATATGTCAACAGATTCAAGTTATCACTATCTGAATTTAAGTGATTTTGAAAGTTTTACTTCACAAGCAGGATCAAAATTTGAAGCAAAAGTGCGTCAAACTCTGGTGGTATTTCAATAAAAATACTTTTATTTTTATAGCATTTTCAAAAACAGAAGTTTACAAAGTGCTTTGGCAAACAGTTACAAACAATACAAGAACCCTACAACATAATAGTTTTACAACATTTTCAATGTTTATGTTATTTAAGTCCCATTCTGTTTTTTTTTTTTTTTTTTTTTTTACCTCCTAAGACCTGGCGTCCACATGTGTGGACATCACATTTTTGGTTGTCAAGACCACAATATTAAATTTTGTTCACAAGGGCCTTCTCTCAAAATTTTAAACAAATGTCCTCATATGTGGACATCATTTTTCTCAGAAACTACATCATGTAAAAAGATCATTCTTTGTTTTTACACTCATCAGGTCCCAATAAGCCTAAATATCAAAGAGAAAATAAAAATGCATGCCTTGCAAGAGTTCGGGTCTTAGGGGGTTAAGCTATCTAAAGTGTCTGAAGTGTCCCCTCTACTTCTTAGGGTCTGGCCTGCACAGGGGCGGAGCTTGGAATTGTGATGTAAGAAATCTCACTGTATCTTAACCTGCCGCTTGGGTCTGCCGGAGATTCACAGCGATTTGAATGCAGGAATACTCAGAAATGCAATTTCGCTCTCACTTTTCTCCTGATATCTCCTGTAGCATCAGAAAAATGAATATATGAACATGTAGACGACAAGAAAAACAGGATTTGTATCAGAGTGGGTCTTAAAGGAGTGAGAAGATTTTGACATCTATAAAGGCACTCTTAGTTTAGCACAGTGTTTGCAAAAAGTGGAAACTGCATCTCAGCTCTGCACATGAGCTCCTCTAGTGGTTAAAAGGATGAATTTCACTCTCACTGGCTCTAAGGTCGGTATGTTTACATTCACAGTTTAGTAAAGCGATGGTTATTATTCCATTAGGGGGATTTAACTGGACTAATCCTCGTCCCAGTTTACAAGCACCAACAAGACTCGGATTATTGAGGCATGTCTGCCTCTGCCATCGCAGGTGGTGACGTGTCCTTCTCTAGCTTGTTAAAACTGGACCTCTGAGTTACCAAAACAATCGACAAACCCATTAGCATGTAGCTAACAGGATGTACATAAAAAGATGGAGACACCTTTTTCAACCTTAAGTTCATGCATTACTTAAGTTTTGACATGATAGTAACATGTGAACATTATAAGACACTGTGTAAGTAATTTAATCATCTATAGTTCACGGTTTATATATGAAACAATCTCAGCACAACAGGCAACAAGACAGAGGCCAAACTAAAGGGCTGTGATCTTGGTGCCCTCGTTAAAAAAGAAGCATTACTTTGTTGTGGAAATTACTTCATGGGCTTTAAAGCGCGTATAAAACCACATCACAGTTCAATGTCTGTATCCACAAATGAAGGTTAAAACTGAACGATGCAAAGAGGAAAACAACACGATTCATAAATACAACCTTCAGCCTTCTGCTTTCCTTCTGCCTGACTCAGATGTTTCCCTCTCAAAGCTGCTGACAGCTGTTTGCATATAAATTTGTTTTTGGTTTGTTTATTCAGAAAGATCTTTGCATTCGTGTCGGCACGCTCAGTTAAAGAGACGCAGCAGGAAACTGGTGAGGGGACGGATTTTTGGCGGAAACATTCTTGCCCCCCTGCTCCTTCTGCACTCGGAGGCCATAAACATGATGAAGATTTACTGCCGATGCTGCTGATGGATATATTTAAAACCATCAGTCTTTCACTGCCAAGTTAGTGAAATCTCCTCCTTAGGGTACAGCTGAGTGAAGTGAAGCTGCATCTCATAATTTATCTGGACTGAGTTGACAGAGCGATAATTGATAAGAAGCCAAGCAGACAGCAGAGAGACTGTTTTGTTCCTCTGCAGGACTTTTTTTTTCACTTGTAGTACAACCTGTCTGACCTCGGGCTCCTCTGTATGTTAGCATACAGGAGCGCTCAGACTATTTTACTATCTTTGCCTTCAGCTGCTCACAGCAAAGTTTGTTTAATAAAAACTCTTAATTCAGCGAGTTCAAGTAAATAATTTAGATACAAGTTTTTTCTGGGAGTTAAAAGTGTGATAACCTTTCTCAGCTGTCAGTGGGCGAGTCGTGGTCGCCAGCCTATCACAGGGTAAATAGGTAACCAGACACACTCACTCTTCTACCTATGGGCGATCAAGAGTGACCAATTAACCCGACCAGCATGACTGCTGGGAGTGAGCTCATGAAAACTCAAAGTTCAGCTCACACTCATGAAAATGTTCACGTTCATAGTTCGGTCAGTTTCCTCCATTCCTCAGTCAGTCGAGCTTCAGTCCTTCACCATCAATCACTGACGTCTCTGAAACTCCATGAGTTATGATCCTCCACTGAAGAGTCATTGACAGATATTTAGTTTGAAAGTCCCATTTAGGTTTGTCGTTCCAGTCAAACAATCTGTCAGCTGAATATTTGACTTAAAGGCACCATGTGGAGTTTTGAAGTGGTTAAGAACAGCACTTACAGTCTCCACACGCCAAGCACGAATGAATTACATGTTAAGTCGATGCAAAGAAGGGGTGCATTTCTTTGTTAGAGGATAACAGGATCAGGTTCTTGTCTCACAACACTTTGTCACATGTACAAGAAAATAGATAAGAGGAACCCACAGGTGGTAAACAAATATATTTAAATTAACATTGTCCTTTTACAGTTATCTTTATCTTTAACTTAAGTGACCCAGTAGACTTCATAAAGTAGGACTGAAAACATTTACTGTGAATCATGAACCTCCTTTTCTATGTTTTTAATGCTGAAATTAACGTCCGATAACACAACAACGACTATAAGACGTCATGATCTGGTCGGATTATTGCTTCCTCCTGCGCACAAATTGGCGGTGGTGTGTGTGGACTTAAACATGCTAGCACAGGCATGTAGGAAGTGTGGCGGCTGAGCAGGTCTCATGTTTTTGGTGGGCGCTCCTCAGCACACACACACACACACACACACACACACACACACACACCCCTGAGCTGCAGGGTTAGGGTGTCTGAGTGGAGGAGGATGCAGACAGTGAGTCACCAAACATACGTGACACCTGCACTGTCCAGCCTGTCACATGTCACTGAACCACACCCCGCTTGCGCAAAAACTCCGCTTCTGACGTAAATCCTGCAAATGATCCTGCCTGTCAAATCCTGCAGGCACAGAGAGAGCTTTCAGCCCCACGACGGCAGAGTTTTTAGGAGCCTTTAACGGCTGCTGCTGCTGCTGCGGTGATGCCTGCCTTTCCATTGATTAATTCATCGATTTCCCAAGTGCATGTGTTGAACTTAATGGGACTGGAGTTTTTTCAAGTCTGTGTTTCCTCTGCACATGTGTAGAAGTGTGTTGATGACATGTGGTTCCATTTAATGTAGACATATAAAGCAACGAGCAGGAAGCATTAAAACTATGTGAGGCTGACTGCAGCTCGGCGAGGCCTCCACATCCAGCTTATACACTCACACACACACAGACACACGCACACATAAACATTATTTACCTGTTGAAGCAATGGGAAACTCCTGCCCTTCCTTTTATATTAACAAATACAGCTGGAGGGTTACAGCTGTCCTGTCCTGAGTTAACGCTCCTCTTTCAGCTCTCTGAACTCGGATAAACAGACGAGGTTTGCATGTTTGGGAAAGCTGTCGAGTGGCAAACAGACTTAAGAGTTAAAGCAGTATTAGCATACATTCAGAGTATGGTTTATTTAAGCTTACCACAGCACCAGTTTATTTGTAAAAGGTAACCACACAGAGCGGGGCAACCTGGGTGACAAAAATTTTGGATAATTGGATGTATCAGTATAAAAAGATTAGAAAAGAGTCAGACTTCGTTAAAAGAAAAGAAGCTCAATCTCCTGAACCTCATACAGAGCCAACAACAGATACACTCGAGCTAAGCAGAATAAATAGTCACCTATTTCTCATTGTTGAGGGTTATTTTATATGGAAGCATATTGCAATCACCGTAAACAAAAAAAGATCAGTTTTTCAGATTTTTTTTTTTCTTTTTTTCCAACAATTTTTTTTTCTTTTTTTTGGAGGATTTTTTTTTTGTTGTTGCTTTTTTTGGACATTTTTTTTCTTTTCTGTTTTTCAGAGTTTCTTTTCTTTTATGCGTTTTAGATGGGGTTTTTTTCTGTTTTTTTAGCATTTTTATTTGTTTATTTATTTATTTTTTGGACAAATTTTTTTATTATTTACAGACTAATTGTTTTTCCCGTTCTCTGGGACCATGATCATTTAAAAACAGACGCTTTCATCCCCCTCTGCTCGATTTATTGGAAGCAAACATGGCCCACTTGTTTAGTTTAATCAAGTCTTACTTTCTTCTGGGAGATCTTCCTTTCTTTAAGTCAGATCGATGGAATGCTCATAAGTTTGTCATAAGTTTTGAAGTATCTCACTTAGTCTTATCTCACTTAAAAAAAATATTAATTTAGAATAAACACTGATCTTAAACCACTTTAATGCAGCTTATTTAAACACATAGAGTCGTGCAGGGACCATCTGTTTTCGTGCAACATGACCGTCGAACGTAAACGCTGCTACCGTCAAAGTTACGGTTAAAACACTCACTGAAATGACACAGATTTTCTCCCACATGTAAAGACTGTTTCACTGATTAGTGTTACTTTGAGCCTCTACATCTGCAAATGCATGTATGAAGTCATAAAAAGAAAGTGAGATAAACACCAAAATTTACGTCAACAATTGATGTCATTTTGCCGTCATTTTGGGACCACCCCATCCAGTCGGTAACAAAGAGGGAAAGACAGGTGAGGAGATGGAGGACAGTTCAAAAGTTGTAGTAGTTGGAGCGGCGGCTTGTGGTATAGTTATCGTCCATTTATCATTATCGAGGTGAACTGCTTAATATATTGTGATATTGATTTAAGGTCATATCGCCCAGCCCTATTTTAAATAGAAGTTGTGATAACTGTCCTGGTTGCAGAATGAAGAAAATAGCGTGATCAATCCAAGCAATAATTTGTGTCATGGTGTTTATAAGCTCTTAAAATTTACTGTTTTTTATTTATATCCCAGCATATAGCGGTATAATAATGATAATAATAATAATAATGTTTGAGTGTGTTTTTCTCTCCTGTGACAGAGCAGACTATTTTAGAAGTGCTGATATCATAAACTCCACTCATGTGGCTCTCTGAGGGGAGAAAACAAACGCTCACTTGAACTGCTGTTTGACCCAACTCTCACGCTGGATATCCTTTATTTGCGACACTCAATAGTGGAAAAGACTCTTAGCCAGATTCCCTCCATGGTAAACAGTCATAAAGAGCCCAGGATACTGTTGCACAAACACAAATAGCCGACTATTCATAGCACTAATGAGAGCTGCCACAGACAGACACCAGCAGGCCTTGAAATGGACTGTCGACACTTTCAGAGTTACGGCACGACCTGAGGTGGAAACGGCGTCCTGGTGGAGGGCTGGAGGTGCAAAGACATTCCTCTTTGACTCCTTTTTTCTTGTTTTTTTTCTTTCTTCTTGTTTTGTCTCCTCATCATTCAGAGAAAACCGCTCTTCATCCTCTGCCCTGTAATCTTCCTCAAACAAACCTTTGCTCTATCGATCGTCGCTGAAACCTGCGGCGGCTGACACGTCATTATGATAAACACGTTTTTCCAGCAGCGCGTTTGTTCGCTGCATTGATTTTCGCCTTCGCTCGCTTCTATAAACAGTGATTGCCCTCACATAACCTCATCACACGAACCGCACGGCACACTGGATTATGAAAGTGTCAAGTCTCTCCCCCGTGGTCAAAAGCTATTTTCTAAGTGAGACATTAACTCGCCATTACCCCCCATCAACCTCAGCGCTGGGAGGGAGTGATTTAACGGCGTACTGATTGATCGGTCTGTTTATTTTTTGTTCGGCCTGACAGGAATTTCAGACCCCAACTTTCAAATTCCTTGCAGATGTCCAGCCGACGCTTTGAAGCCCCTCTGTAATTAACCTTTTGAGGAGAATAACAAACCGGTACACAGGGGCGCTGTGGTCCGGCGCCGCCGCTTTGAAGTGGTTCCTGTGTTTGCTCTGCCGTTCGCTGGACGGGAGGTGAGCTCTGCTGACATGTCAGAGGGTCTTAGTGCAGCACCGTCAGCAGCAGGGAGTGAACTGTTATCACCTCTCTGTACCATGAGCTACGTTTACTTACAGAGGAGTTTGGCCATCAGCCACAGGTTTAATGGCACAGATCAGACGTCCCTGTCGCCTCGAATAAACCAGTAAACATGATCTTCCTCTGAGTGAGACATTAACTCGCCATTACCCCCCATCAACAAATAAAACGGGAGAGACGGCTGCCAGCTTCGCTTTTCGATGCCAAGGTGTCATCGATTGATCGGTCTGTTTATTTTTTGTTCGGCCTGACAGGAATTTCAGACCCCAACTTTCAAATTCCTTGCAGATGTCCAGTGTTTTTCAAGCCCCTCTGTAATTAACCTTTTGAGGAGAATAACAAACCGGTACACAGGGGCGCTGTGGTCCGACTGCTTCTTTTAAACTCCTGAAGGCGGCCATGTTTGTCTCCATGAGGCGGTTTGGGTCTGGAGGCTGTTTTGGCTGGATCCTGCTTCACTGTGGTGGTTTTTAATTAGCGGGGGCTCAGTCATCAACAGAGCGTGTCAAACACATTTCTGTTCCTGCGCTCATTAGACCTGTAGAGCAGCTTTTCCATTTGGCAGGCTGGATGCTGTAGCTCTGCAGGCACCTTCTATATATGATCTTTATCATCGTGCACGCAACTATATCAATCAATCAAATCAATCAAATTTTATTTATATAGCACTTTACAATATCCCAAATGGTACCCAAAGTGCTTTACATAAAAGCAATAAAATAACACAAGAAAAAATACCATTATAAAATAATACAATAGAATAGAATAATACAAGAACGATGAAGTAATAAAAATGAATATGAAAATAAAATAATACAATAAAATAGTATGTAGAAGTGCTAAAAACCTATAAGTACAGGACTACCTAGTCAGAGTTAAAAGCAAGTCTAAAAAGGTGCGTCTTTAACTTTGATTTAAATAAACTGAGGTCAGTGGTGGTGCGTACATCTAGCGGCAGTCTGTTCCACAGCCTAGGAGCTGCAACAGCAAAAGAACGATCACCCCACTGTTTGAGTTTTGACCTCGGGACCTCCAACAGGCGCTGACCGGAGGAACGGAGGGCCCTGCCATGATCGCGAACAGTTAAAATCTCTGACAGGTAGGAGGGGGCCAGGCCATTTATGGCATAAAAAGTAAATAATAAAAGTTTAAAGTCAATTCTAAAACAAACTGGAAGCCAGTGTAGCGAAGACAGCACAGGGGTGATGTGTTCACGCCTAGACGTGCCCGTTAAAAATCGTGCAGCAGCGTTCTGTACAAGCTGGAGACGGGAGATTAAAGACTGGCTATAAAGAGCCATTCACTGCTTGAAAGTATGGTGCAGATTTGTGAGGAGTTAATGTTCAACAGACTGATGTTATCTGGCTTTGCATTGTTTCCTCTCCACTCTTAGCTTCTTGCACAACTCTGTTGAGTAATATGACAGTGAAAGTCACACTGTGAGCTTCTATCATCACAGATTTAGATCTCCTGTTGAAGTGCATCCTCTAGCGTTGAGGTTTTTACATCCCTAATGCTTTTTATTGAGGTTTTTAGTCGAATCCAAATATTAAAAGTGCAAAAATCAAACTACCACTGTGGTACTGTAATTGAGACCGATGCCTTATAAATAATAGGGGGGATTTTTCTTCACCCACATCCAAAGATCATATCTGCCAGCAGCCTGATTTCTCACCCACAATGCTTCAGTGCGCTTTTCTCCCTCCAACAATGTCTCTCCATGTGCATTTTAACTGGCCCGAGGAACAATGTTGGCCTTGTGAAGGCTCTCCATGCATTTTCTGTTAAGGACGTGGCATTTGAGAGAAACAGACGCCTTTGAAAGCCTCACAATGGCGATGGAGTTTGTGTCTTAGAATATGGGCAGAGTGGGCTCCGGCTCAAACTGTCCAGAAAAAAAGTTTCTGACATGTATGTACTTGGCTGCTGTCTTCCTCTTGTGTTTGCATGCTGTAGTGTGTGTGTGTGTGTGTGTGGTGAAGGTTTCCACTGGCCCTGAAGTGTCAGCGGTCTTTGAGAGGTGGTGGGGAGCGCAGCAGTGGCTGTAAGCTGTGGACAGATCGCTGCTCCGTCCTATCTGCCGTGTACGGCTGACATTCTGGCTCAATGGGCCGTCTCAACACCTCGACACTTTATCCACACGGGACAGCAGACAGAGCGGCAGGCCTCTCTGTCTCTTCATCGGCAGCCCATCTCTCTCTCTCTCTCTCTCTCTCTTTCTTTTCCTCTGTGTCTAGACGGATAAACGTGTTTTTGGTTTCTTTATTTCACATCCCTTGAACCACACATCGGTACCTCTGCTTTAGGTTTTCCTTATATGGAACTCTGGGAGCTCTCAGGGAGGAGTCTGCACTGTATGGATATCTGTGTTCAATTCTGTTTAACCAAAGACAACAGATGAAGTGAAAAAAAGTCATGTCCTTATTTCATTTCTGCATTTAGAGTTCAAACGAAGGAAAAATTTAGAGGAAAATCAGCAGTGAGAGCTTCAGTATTTTACCTTTAAGGTGTGAGAAACCAGGATAAACTATCGGACAGTTTCATCCCTCCTCTGGGAAACTTCATCACACAGATCAGATGCAGTAGTGTCTTATTTTCAGCTTTAAAGCCATAACAAGCCAATACCTTTCCTCTCTTTATATTGCAGACCAGCTAAATAAAAACCTACATGATGAAAAATTAAAGAGGATATAGCAGCTAAAGAGCAGGTTATTTTCCATCAAAGAATAAAACATAAACAAAAAACATTTAAAAAATTTACAATAAATTAGGGGTGTCCCAATACTATATTGATATCGGATATCGGTCCAATATCAGCAAAAAAAAAAACAAATATGGATTATATCGGCCTGCATCTAAAATCTCTGATATCAGCACTCAGATATCAGTAGAGAGGAGTAAGAGTGATGTCGGCCATGTGGCGGTAATTTAGTCCAAAAAAGACATTGCAACTGAGTGAAAAACTTAAAATATAAAAGTTGTATCGGGACACCCCTACAATAGATGATATGTTTGACTGAAGAGAGCAGAATGAGATTTATTCATCATAAAGTCACTATTTAAGCAAATACAAAACAAAATAAACGAAGATGGCTGTGTCCACAGGGGGCGCCAGAATTGACACAAACTAAAAATTCCTCATAGGAGCTTTAGTATGAAAAAAATTATGTTTAATCCACACTTTAATTTTACAATGTGCATGCAGATTAATATTTTAAGAATAAGATTGAAACTTTACAAGAATAAAGTTAGTTTTCCTCAATTAAAGAAAAACATTTTGTAGATTAAAGTCGAATTTTTGAATTTCTGCAAAAAAGGATTTTTTATTTTAGACAGAAGTCTTAAGGCTAAAGCTAATTCAAAAAGACCAAAACATTAGAAAGAGTGATAATGAAAGTGAAGCTGACCACTGCCTTCACTAAAGTAGGAAGGAAGGCTGCATGTTCACCTCTCCTTCTTCATAGCGGTCTCAGTTTTTTTACAAAATAGATTCAGAAACTGGTTTTTATGATGTTGAAGTGAAAATACAGTTTTATATGAAGGTTTAACTTCACTACAAACTCCATGTTCCTTATTTAGTTAAAGCAGTGGCTGATTTTCTAATCCTCCTCATTGCAGTAATGAGTGATTTCTTTTCTCCTTTAACTTATAGCCTGTAAATCTACGACTTTATTCACATAAAATTACAAAGTCGCTCTGCAGAATCGACTGGATTAATCTTAAAATCTTAATTCTTGTTACAGGTTAGATCTAACCCTCTGCCCTTTAAATGAAAGACAGAAATTCTCTCTAATTTCATAACTGTGCACTTAATACGCAGCCTGAGGTCAAATTCAGCCACAGCTGTCAAACTAAGTTCCTTAAACTCTGCTCTTCAGGATGAGCGTCTCCTTTTCGGGGTTTTCCACGATGCTAAAGGCTAAAAAGTCACGAAGACAGCGTAATGACCGTTAAATAGGAAAAACAGCACAAACACAATAACGTTCACAGCAGTCATTCGTCACTTTGTGATCAGAGCGGGATAATCGGTGGGTATAAGTGAGAGCTGATGGGGACAATCAGAGAGGGAGCGCTCTCTTTTTAGAACTGGCTGCGGGTTCACGGCGGCTCCTGCATGGCTGCCCACAGCGTTGAGTTACCTACAGGAATCTCATGTGTGTACGCTTACATCAGGGGCCACCGGCTGCAAGGAAACGACTGAGTGAGTGGGTGAACGCTGATGTTTTGATGGTGTGTGTCACCTTTACTGGAAGCTGAATCACGGAGCTGCAGGTTTGAGTGGCATGCATGGAAGGATTTACAGAGACTACTGAGTGAAGATTGAGTTACCGTCGGATTTTAAATATCTGATTCTGGAGTTTGATCGGACTGTGAAAATTTAGCAGAATTTGTTCAAACTTTTTTAGGAGCATACTTGAAAATGTTTCCTCTGGAAATGGGCTTGGACTGTCTGACACAGGGATTCCACCGCATGCAGATCCGCTAGAGGAGAGGAGAAGCACTTATGATTTTACCGATATTTTTCGCGAGACTGGACGAGATCTCACAAGATGTTGTGTTTCACTGTGAGACATTGAATGAGATAAAAACACTCAAATCCCACAACCCTGGCCCTTCCCATTATCACTTGAAGAACAGTTCAACGTATCGACTTTATTTTATTTTGAAAATTAATCGGATATTTTACTCTGTAGCCGCATACAACTTCTGCTGCCGCTCGTGCTGCGCTGCACTGAATCGATGCGTTGTGCTGCAGCGTCTGGCAAAAATAGAAGCCTTGCGTATCTGGAGCTGATCCGCAGCGGAGCCGGGCGGCGGATGGATTGTGTGGAATCACGCATCATTTTGATCAGGCTGCCGCTTTGGACCGGAGCAGAGCCGTTCTGTATCCTGTGGAATTTCGGCGTGACAGTTCACCTTGAACGACTTGATTCCCGTGTCAGCGACTGTTGTAAAAGTTACACCTAAAACTCCGTCAGTATGACCCAAATGGTGATGAAGATAGAGAGGGTGTTGATCACATGACCATCGGAGGTAGTATGACTCTGTTAGGCGCCTCCACTCTGACAGTTTGAAGGCCGTGCAGGTGGTCTGGACAGAGCTCAGGTTCTGCATGGTTTACGTCTTCTTGCAACGTCAGCATGCTCTGCCCACCCACAAACACTCGTGTACCGTCACACGCCCCAATGACCATCAATCTTCTCATCTGAAGCATGAACCGCCATGAAAAGCACCAACCAATCAGCTTCTCTTCTGTCTCAGCGGCCACCTCATCCCTTTATTTATGACTTTTTGTAACTCGTCTACTTTTCCAGACGCCCTCTCTGTTTCATCGCAGCCATTCCTGCTCCTCTCTCACCCCGGCTTCTCTTATTCGTCCCTGTGTGTATGACGGGAACACACGGCCCGGCTCTGCTGAAACTCAATCCTCTGAGTGGGAGCAGCATGCGAAGAGGAGGTCACACAGGTTTATGGGGGGTCACGCTGGAGCTCATCTAACAATCCGGGCCCCGGCGCTGATCAAACAGATGGAGAGCTGCTTTGATCGTGCGCCTTGAGCTGTTTGCCACATTTAGTGTCCGCCAACAGGATCTGGAGTTATGTAAGCATCACAAGAGGGGAGTCCAGCCCTCCACCCTGACCCCCTGTCCCACCTGAGTCTTGTGACTGCAGGGCACAGGGACGGTGGTGGGCATCCGAGCCATGCCTGGAAGGTGACTCCTGGTGCCAGTGTTGGGTTTCAAAGTGGGGAGGAGAGGCCGTGTGCTGCGGCTGTCAGGGAGGTATTATGGAGGGGGGAGGAAACAGGAAAAGATGCTGAGGGAGAAGCCTGAGAGGAAGGGACAAACGCTGCTGCAGTTCCTGGAGTGTCCACTTGGGGCAGACTCCAAAGGCCAAGAAACTCTCCTTACGTTCCATGTTAAAAAGCTCAACTTTGCAGGAAAAATAAACATGTTTATAATTAAGCTAACAATTTAAATTAAGGGTTTGGTGCTGAATCGAATCCATTTATTTGAGCACGCTTTAGCTCCGCCCACTATACCAATTATGGTCATTTTTACCCTTAAATAAACAATAACGCTACAATAACAAATAAATCACCAGTCAGTGGTTGGAGCTGCACACACACACACACACACACACACACACAAACACTGTAAACACATATAGGTGATAAATCTCCGTCGTCTTAATATCGTGTTAATGCTCATTACTCTGTTATTTCGCTCGCCAAAATATTTCTACAAATTGCGTTTTGATGTTTTGGAAATGTTGCTCCTAAAACCCTCACGCCAAAAACCCCTTTTGATTGAACTGAATGTAAATGAGAGAGGAAGGCTCGCTTCATAAACGCCCTCGCCACTGCAATGCATGCTGGGCATGAATGTGTTTCACCAGAGAGCTTTGGTCCTGACCACTACTGACAGCCCACAGACCCAAACACTGAGGGAACGCTCGGTTTCAGGGATTATGATGGTTACTGGCGAGAAAGGCTGAGATTTGCTTCCTCTGAGTTCGCTGCAGCAGAGCTTCTCATTAAATGTTCTGAGGAAACACTCTGAACACACAGGCTGGGCTGGACTCTGATTTTCACTGTTGTTCAGCTTCATCATTAACTCTTACACGACCCGTCTCACCTGTGGGTACATTATTGAATCCCTGACCTGTGGTAATCAGGGGTAACAGATACAGAACGGCGTTTTTCTGTCAGTAATGATTTATGATTCACTTTGCTGCAAAGCTGCCAGATCTGCTGTTTCATAAGAGATAATGAGCGATAACAATCCTGAGTCCCGACAGGTCGATTCAAACACTCGAGGTGGATCCACTCCCACTCCAGGCAGGAATGATCGGAATGAAATCCTCACCCACATCCTCTATTGTCATCCTGGGAAACTGGCGGAGGAACCGTTTGTTCGAGGGAAGGAAAACTTACGTAACTGTTCTCTGCTAAATTAGTTTGCTCTGTAATGAATCGGTCTTAAAACCTCGGCTGCTGTGGAGCTCGTGTATCCATCAGGTTCATCAAGTAAATGTATGTTTTTATTTCTTTAAAATACCCAAGATTAGGGTAAAAACCTACAACGGAGTATTAGGGCCACATTAACAAAAAAAAAGACTTTGAGATTAAAGTCGTTAATTTATGAGAATAAAGTCATTACTAACTAGACTACTAACAAGTCGTGATAAAGTAATTATATTACGAGAATAAAGTCGTAATAAAATCATTATGATACTTATGATAATATGCTGCTGATCTGCCAAAAGATTAAGTATCTCCTTGTTTAAGAAACATATATTGAAGTACATTTTTACAAAATGCACCACGGCTCTAATTTCAACAACTGTCATCTTAAACAACAGGCTAGAATATAAGGACTTAATTCTGACTTTATTCTCGTGAATTAACAACTTTATTCCAGAAATCTTTTATTTTTTTCCCTAATGTGGCCTTAATACTCTGTCGTCAAAACCTGATGGAGCACACACAGCAATAAAACTAATCCAGTGACTGCAGAGTTCACTTAATTTAATGTGTTCAACATCTTATTTTTGCATACTAGCTTACAAACATGCGCTTAAATAACCGCAGCTAACACTCACTGTTGATTTTGGTTCAGAAACTGATTAACACATTAAAATTTGACCTGATTTAACAGGATAAAAAGTCAGATTTTTCTTGAGTTGCTACCAGAAGTCCTGGATATGGCTGGGCGATATGACCTCAAATCAATATAATGATATATTGATCAGTTCACCTCTATAACTATAAATGGACGACAACTACTCCACAACCTGCTCACCCCCTCCCACATTAACTTCGTCTACTTCAGCCGCTCCAACTTTCTCTCCGTCCTCCATCTCCTCACCTGTCTTTCCCTCTTTGTTACAGACTGGATGGGGCGGAGTCTCGTCTCTGACGTAGGACAGCGTCTTAAAGGGACATGAGACCATAGCCTACCTACACACATCCAAAACCAACTTTTATTTATATATTTCTTTGACATCGATATTATTGACACAAAATGACGTCGGTTGTTGTCGTAAATTTCAGTATCAGTACATTTTCGGTTTATTGCCCAGCCCTAGTCCTGGCCTCTCCACAGTTATAAAAGTTTTTGCAAAAGTCCCTAAAAATTCTCCCTCTGGGTCAGGCGACTATGGCGACCGCCGGTGATTGACAAACGTTGTGCTCAGGAACTTTTAGGCAACAGCAGAATCTGCAGAGACTTAATCATTAGAGAGTCTTCATGATGATTTCTGCATCAACAAAAATCAACATGTGTGATTGTGAAAGATTCACTTCGTAGGTGTGTTCAGTCCTGAAACACCTGAGGGAGCGTTCACTGCGTATGTGGCAATAACACAACATGACTAATGCTGCACACTCACGCTCCTACTATGTCCCAGAATGACATGCATGTTGGTATAGATATATGTGTACAGTATGTGCTGATGTATGCGTGCAGCATCGACACCATCATCCACGTGCTGCACGCTCGGTTGCACCAGCGCCTACAGTATTTGAATTGTTTCTGCGCTCGACAGAAATTAATCACAGCTTCGGTGTCGACTTGCAGACGCAGAACATTCTGCTCTAATGCGTCTAGACGGTGGACGGCAGCAGATGTGTTAGTCACATGCGGCGTTTATAAACAGCAGAGAAGAAGAGACGGAGACATGATAGCGTGATACAGCAGAGTTGTGGTGTGGATGGCAGATTATATGACAAGGCTACGTCTCCGTCTCTCACACTGAGGCATTTCAGGCTCCGCCCCTCACTCCCCCCTCTATAGGTTTGTTGCTGGGCCTCCCTGTTTGTTGCCAGTTCAAGTGGGCTAAACTTAACTCCCCAGTCTGAGCATGAGTTTTGGACATTTATTACCACACCCACTCCTGTCAGAGCTGCCGCCTTCTTCTCCAACATGAGTCTGTGTCTGCAGCCAAACTAAACTGCAGCGGGCTATAAGTGACGGCGAGAGGGCGAAATAAGAATGTAACGGGCCTGTTACATGTGCAACACAAACAAAATACACGGAGGGAGTCCGACTAAAAATACCCCGGAGCTGCACCAACTATAGGACCAGTGGCACCAGCCAAAAATACGTGGTATTGTTATGGGAGGAGGAGGAGGCAGCGAGCTGGGTGTTAGGGTGTGTGCACACAGTGAATATAGCTTTTCATTTTTTACTGTTTACCAGAATCAAAATGGAAACTCGCAGCTCGTAAGGAAGAGAAACGACACTTCATAAAGTTTCTCAGCTTTTTGAAATATGAGACCAGTTTAGTTTTACTTATCTGTTTCTTTTTACCAGTGTGTGTCAGAGCGACAAAGGTGAGAGCAGGAGTAAAAGTGTGTTTACTTTTCCCAGAGTTCTTATCAACAGTGTCAGCTGAAAGAGAAACCTAATCTCACCTTGACCTTGAACCTGGGAGGGCCGACTGTAGTTAAACAGACCCCGTCACACACTCAGACTCGCACCACCTCCCACAGAGCAGATCTGGCACATTTTATGTAAACATTTCTTATCTTGGCATCCCACCCTCCAGCAGAGAGGAATGAAGCAAACCTTATCTGCTGCATATTAAGAGAAGCATGGTGGGAACCCACTCCGGTCTCAGTCAGGACCACTTTCATCAAACAGCATCAATTGTTAAAACATGAAAGTCATATTTGGTGGAGTGAAGGCGGGCAGAGCAGCAGCAAAGACCCTCATGGCTGCAGCTCAGAGAGGAGAAGCTGCAGAGAAGGAGACTGAGGCTGATTATAAACAGAACGTCCATTTTGACAAAGACGGTACCCAGCTGTCTGTTGATACAGGCTGGCACTAACCTCAGCTGATGGACTGTTGGCTGAGCTTGACTTTCACCCTGCCTGAACTAACACTACGCTCAGTTTCTTAAAGCTTTCTGCAGGTTTCAGGTGACTGTAAACTGTACTTTTTAAAAGCGGGTCAGAGAGTGAATAAATCTGTGAACGACGATCATTTCATCTCCGTGTGGATGTCTATCTGCATCTCTGGAAACGATCATGTGACACACAGCAGAACTCTTTTATGGCGCCAGAACAACCTTTATACACATGCTCTGAACTCTTCTTCTTTTTTTGTGCATTTACTGTGGAGCGTTACAGCGCCACTAACTGGCTTGGCATATGCACTACATCGTTTTCAATGGTTTTGTTTTGAGGGATGATAGAAAAACTTTTTATTAATGTGAAGTTTGGTGAAGTTTTCACTGAATAAAAAAACAAAATTTGAAAAAAAATCGACTTTCCAGAGACAAAAATATGAGATTTCATATTTGGCGGAAATCATACAGCCCTAACTGAACCAGATCCAGAAACAGATCCTCTTTTAGTTAATTCTCCACTGTTTTTGTCGTATTGATTTGACACTTTTCACGGCTAAGCTAGTTTAAATCAAGATGGTTGATTTTAGGAGTCAGAAAAAAGTCTGATATCGTTTCATAAATCTGCATTTAGCAGCTGAACACTCAGAACTCGGCGCTCTGTCGGCAGAGTTTTCCTCAGACTGATGTAAAGATTTATTGCCTGAGCTGGTGGGCGGTAAGAAATCAGGTGCTGATGACAGTCATGTAGTCAACCAAGACTGAGTGCTTTTCTGGGAATCTGAGCCCTTTATTAGACGGAGTAAAAAAAACCTCTGAGCTCCTACCGAAGACGTCCTCACGTTTCTCTGTCAACACCGGCTCGTCCGGTTCAACTGTGAGAGCGGACGTCCGGTGGGCGGGTCAGACCGTGGTCATCCAGGGGCTCCATTACTCGTCTCCCACAGCCGTGCAGAAGCCGAGGTACCTGGGGGCTTCTGTAATGTTTTTCTCTTACAGTGGGAGAGAGAGAGAAATGGTAGTTCGGTACAGAGAAAGATTGAGCGAGCAGCAGCTGTGCAAATACGGAGTCCAGCAGGTCTGCAGCACACCAGGGTCTGCGGATCAGGAAGAGGGTCTTTGTCTTTGCTACCTGACGCTCTCCGCTCCGCTGATGTGTTTGTTCAGACTGTAGATTTTATCTCCAGTCTTCCTCCTGCTGTGGCCTGATAACCGGCTGATGGTTGTCTGTCTGGGTGGAAGATCTCCAGGTGTTGGAGGTTTTTTAATAAAGTCACGGTTTCCTGTGAAGAGACTTTATGGTGGGTGGACTCTCTTTTTTTGAGCTTGTGTGTCTTGATTGCAGAAAAGTTGGAATTTTTAACTATTTGCAACATCCTCTAGTGGCTGTCGAATCCTGCGTCTAACTCGGTGTGTTTGACCTTAAATCGATTTATGCTGGAATATCCCTTTAAGGCTTTAGCACCTATCTATGAGGAGTAAACCTAAGCAGGAAGAAGTTAGGATTGATTTGAGATGATCACTGATGTTTCTTTATTGATCAGGATGAGTCCAGCTGCAGGAAAACGTCGAGGAAATAACATCAAGGCCGAAACATCCTTTATCCCGCTGATTGCCGGAGTAACTGCGAGCACCACGGCGCACATTCCTCCGTTAATAATTTCCATGCATCCTGCAGAGGTTGAGAAAATTGCTGTCATAAGTGGTCCGTAGACATGCAGACATATGCTGCTGCTGCTGCCTGCATGTTTAAGTAAACACAGAGGAAACCCACCCTCGGCTTTGTTTATCCTGCGTTTCCTGCCCTCAAACAAACACGGCGAGTCGGTCGTAATCAAAACATGGTGAAAGTGCAAATGATTTTCGAAGGCGGCCCGCTTGTCGAACTGCAGCAGTAATCCCATTTGAAATATGTGACAGTGAGTAACGAGCAGCATCTCTGTGCCCTCTAATTCCCAAACCCTCTCTCTCTCCTTCTCTCTCTCTCTCTCTCTCCCTCTCTGCCCCTCATCTGTGCAGCCTCTAATTCCCCCCGCGGCCTCGGCCATTAATTAGCCCTCTCTTATAGGAAACAGATGACTTTTAATAAATAAGAGTCATGTTTTGAATTGCTTTAATACTTCCATTCCCTGATGAGAACCGACTTGAAAGCATTCCTCTGCCAGTTCGACCCGACGGCCAAAAAATTCACGGAGATTTGAGAGTGGCAGGACAGCTGGGGTCGGAGCTGCGGACACACAAGCACACACAGGTTTTAAGTTATCCTTTTGGCCACCACGGCTCACCATGTTTTTCCCAGGCGCAGTTCATGTTCTGGTAGGCGGGCAGGCCGATTCATTTACAATAATCAGTGCTTCTATCTAGGGCACTTCTTCAGAACCACTCCACATTAAGCCCGGGCCGTGTCCTACCTTCGCTTCTCTTTCCCCTGGAGTCGACTTCCTCCAGACTTTTTGTGGTTTTAATCTCAAGTTCTCCACTTCAGGGAGATTTTCCTGATTACTGTCACAGAGCTCAGCGGGTGAAAAAGGCCGAGATCTCCCCTCCGCTCGGAGTGCCAGGCCTCCTGCCCGCCTGTGCAGCTCGATTCTTACGCTCCTCCATCTTTTTACATCTACAGGATTTGTCATGCATGCACTGCAGCCCTAATCCTCTTTAAACAAGCCTCTCCTAATGTCACACTGTGTGTCCGCTCACTTTCTTTATGTTTCATTTAACTGGACTTGTGTGGCCTCCTGTGATTTCCCCCCTCGTCTTGGCAGGCTCAGAGGCACAAGCGTGAAACTCTGTGTAACATCTGAGTTGGACGACGGCCCGATGGCTGCTGAAGGATTTATGTGCGTAGATGTTCCCTTCAGTGATTAACAAAGGCAAACAAACACAAACTAGTTTCTCGTAAGCGGCTGACCTCCAAACCACTGTTTCTTTAATGCACCTCATAAATCCACGTGTACCACCATATCCTGGACGTTACTGACAAATCTATTACTGCAACTTCTGAGTCATTACCCCATTTCTTTTATTTGTAATCCACTTAATTTTAGCAGGTTAAATTACTTTAATGATGTCCAGCTCTCTTTTTGGACGCTCACGGCGTAACTAATCCTGGTACGGCTGGCGCTCTGCTTCTGCACTGTGTCGCTTTCTCTCCGCCTGCATTTTTTCAGGGAAAAGAAAAATGGCTTTCATTTCAGAGGAGAGAAACAGAGCGCCGGGGGAGCTCGGCCCGCTGAGCTTTCTTTACTGCAGCAACAAAAACTGAGCGAAACGGCTTTATTCTCCTAATGAGACAGATAATTTCTTGGCTGGCGCTGAATGTGGGTACTTTTTCTTATTGACCACCTTTGGCTTCATGCACTTGGCATTTCAAAATACCACAAACCATGGGAATCAGCTTTAACTGCATAAGCCATTGACATTTGACTTGGTTTACAGAGCGTTACAGGAGTTTCTCAGTTTCTTTACTTCTTTGTTCGTGTGAATCTACAACCTCCAGGAGAAATCTGTGTAGAAGACACTTAAAGACCAGGTTTTGGTACGACTCAAGGTGGCCTGATAGTGGGGCTGAAATGATTCCTCGAGTACCTTGCTTACAAAAAATGATCAAGGAATTTTCTCTGCCCCTCGTTTATAAGCTCAAATCATCACTGTTTCACATGGATTATTTTCAAGGTGACACAACCATAGACTCTAGATACTATGGACAACCAGGTTCCACCTTCCGACAGTATACGGATTTGAAGCCGAAAAGCTCTTGGTAATTCCGCATCTTTTCTCCATTTTCTGAAACCAACATTGCACAGTTGTACCGAGAGTCGCTGTGATGACGCTCAGCTCAGCGTATCCCCTGGGTGAGCTAGGCAATCTTTGTACGCCAATAGGCTGTATCAAGTGTCAATCATAGAAAACATGAACTCCTTAATAACCTTTAAAAAAGAGGACTTGAGCACAAACCAATCTGACAGTAACTACATGTCAACATCGTAAACAGGGGGGAGAAAAAATTATATTATATGTTATAAATTTATAAAGTTTGTCCACAGCTCCATAAAGAGGCGGGATTTATGACCATTACTGCAGCCTGTCAACAGAGGGTGCTGTTCTCAGTAGCTCATTAGCAATTCGCCTCTGAGTCGTGGGCGGAGACAGCGCTGCTCTGCACACTCCTCTTCATGCTAGCTTGTAGCCTGACATTAGCGGCGTAGTAGCAGAAGCAGGTAACATAAGAGCTATTCAGCTCTCAGACACTAATGTCTTTGTGGACATGATGAAAGTTAATATCATAATTAGCTTGTTGTGATCATCCTCTCCACTTCTCTGAGTCTGGCTTTCGGGGGCGGAGCTTGGATTTGTGATGTAGGAAATCTCACTGTATGTGAGTCTGCCGTTGGGTCTGATTACTCGAGTAATCGATGGAATATTCGGTAGAATACTCGATTACTAAAATACTCGATAGCTGCATCCCTTCCTGATAGACTTCCCTGAGCAGCAGGTGTGTCACAGGTACTAGCTCATGAAGTAAACCACCTCCTGATGAAAACTGCAGTTCAGACGCTGGTGTATATAGGGTGACCATACAACCTCTTCTACCTGGACATGTCCTCTTTTTGAGGGGCTGTCTGGGCTGTCCGTCCTTGTCCAGGGAGTTTATAAAATCCTTCAAATGTTCCGGGTTTTTTATGGAAGTTTTGAGTTTGTGTAGTGTGGACCAACTGAGTTAGAAGCAAGTAAAAAATATTTGACCCGACCCCAAAAGAAACCCTCAATAGTGTCCTCTTTTTGGGGATTTAGAATACGGTCACCCTAGGTGTATTTCCTGGTTTAGGTGACTTTTTAGCTCCTGGTGCAGTGAAGGTAAATCACCTAACAAATGACCCAGTTTTAGCTTATTTAGACTCACACCAGTGTCAGCTCCTCCTGCGACCACCAGCTGCCCTCGCCCTTCGTCTCCTGAGGTGGATAATTTGGATCCAATATGGAGAGTTCATGCAGACACAGGTATGTTCGCTCTGCCCTCGGTCGTAGTGGGAACTTTCAGCCCCTCATTACTTTCTCTAAAGCTGTTTTGAGTATTTCTTACTTCCTCTCTCTGTGCACAGAGCACATTCCCGCAGCGTCCTGTTCCCCGCTGCTGCTGCTGCTGCTGCTGCTGCTGCTGCTGCTGCTGCTGCTGCTGCTGCTGCTGCTGCTGCAGAGGAGGAGAGAAACTTTAACAGGCCTGCGTGGCATTTTACAAAGGGTGAACACACACTCTCTGTCGTTAACTTCCCTTTTTATTGCTCTTAAGTATCCAGGAGAGAAAAGTGCATGTGAAGGCCTTTTCATTGTCTGTGTCCACTCACTGGTTTGCACATGTGGTGAAGTGGTTGAAAGAATTCAGAGCTGAACGGTAAGATCTGGAGTTTCAATGAGTCATGGAGGTTCAGGATACACAAACCCACCCCAGATAACGAGATAATTACAAGAAGGTGCACAGGGCACAATAGGAGGAACGGGTGTAGCTCTGCAGCCATCCTTTGACCTCAGACAATCTGCTCCTCACCCACCTGGTCATGGCAGCGCCTGTTGGCAGCCCCACACCCAACACTAAACAAATATACAAGCCCGTCTGGTCCTGCTTTGCTCCTTCCTCTCCTCCTGCAGCCTCCACAGCCTGAGATGGCCTTGACTTTGTCTTCTGCGCTAATTCTCCGAGGTTAGGACAATAAACACCACACTGATGGGCTCGAACCCAGAGGAGGCCGCACTTCCTGTCTGCACAAGCTGCTCTGTGGGAGAAAGAACAGAGGAGCGAGGGGAGAGAAGGTCAGGGAGACGGAGAAGTGGATGAGGAAGGAAAAGAGGTCTGAAAGGAAAGATAGTGATGCATGTCTGAGATTAGTTTGACTTTACATCTGAACAGTCTGGTGGATTTTCTCTAAACAAACTTCATCTTTTCATCTTTTCTCAGTCTGCTTGACTTCCTGGTGACAATTGCTTTCATCCTTTTTTCGCCTTGAATGAAGTCCAAGTTGTTTTCTGCAGTTAACAGAAGTTCAAACCACAGAAGCAGATCCGGCTGCTGATAAATTCTTGTAGGATCTCTCTCTCTCTCTCTTTTATTTCTGCCTTAGATTATATCACAGGAGCTCCAACAAAGTTAAAACCTTTAGAGCCGAAAGAAAAGCTAACATGAATGTGACCAAAAACTGCAATTCCATGAGTGACCACTTGAGGTTCGCTCTGAAGGTGAACAAACTCCCATAGGGTCCCATACTGAAATTTATTTCTGGAAACTGTTGATTAAAACTCAAAGTTAAATGTTTTTCCTTGTTCTCTGTGCAGCAGCAAGTGCATCCAGGTCAGGATCATTGTTAACTTTAACCTTCAAGTAGGGTGACCATAATCTGAATCCCTAGAAAGACGACATGACCACACAGGGGCGGAGTCACAGATTCATATGAAGTTAATTTTGAGGGTTTTTCGGGTCTGACCGAGTGTCTTTTACATGCTTCCAGCTCAGTAAGTTCACGTGACACAAACTTCAAACTTCCGTACAAAACCCCAGACATTTGAAGGATTTTACAAACACCCCAGGACAAGGTCAAAAAAGAGGACATGTCCGGGTAAAAGAGGACGTATGGTCCCCCTACTTCAAGTATTTAGTCATGGGTTTAGTTTTTAAGTAGTTGCTCCGACTCCTAAGAAGTCTGATGATGAACATTAAGTCTGACACATCACTCAAACTTTCTCAACTTCTGAAAACTCTTTCATAAAGTCAAAATTGATATTTCTTATGTTAAATTTGACAAGTCCCACATTTTGCACCTGCTTCTTCTTCCCTTTTAATACTTGAGGCTGCAGAAAACCAAAGGTTAACTTTGATTGTTCGAGATACTGGAGGCCTTTTGAGCCTGAAGAGAGTTTCAACATGTGCAGTCTGTCTTTCTCTCTGTCTTGGAGACATCTGGCTGCAAGCATCTTTCAGATTCCATCAATACCACAGTGAGGGGGGAAACCCCACAGCTGAAAAAAGCAGCCTCAGCAATCTGAGCGCAGGCCAGCTCATATCGACTCCAACAAGCTCTCAGTCATCGCGCCGAACTCTCGGAGCTACAGATCTGTGTCTGCCAAGAGAAGAGGAGGGGAGCTCCAGGGGCGAGGTGTGAAGAGGGAGTTCGGTTAAGAAGTCCAGGGGGTCATAGGGAAGACAGAGGGCTGGTCTGTGTGTGTGTGTGTGTGTGTGTCTGTCTTTGACTGGCAGAGAGGCAGCTCCAGCTGTTCTGCTTCATCTTGGCAATTAGCTGTAATCAAGTCTCTGAGCTCTCTGGGTGTTCTTCGGAGACACTTTCACACGCTGGAGCTCCACCGGATATCCCTCATCTCTGTCTCCCAATCACACACATGCACACACATGCACACGCACGCACATACATGTATGCTTGAGCGTGCACATACATACACAACACACACACTGAGCACTACCTGGAAACTTTACACTGTGCTGTGAAGGTTTAACTCCCTGTAAAAGGAGGGAATGTACAAAACATGGGTATTCGTATGCATGTGTGAATGTGTGTGTGTGTGTGTGTGTGTGTGTGTGTGTGTGTGTGTGTTGTTTGTAGCCAGGTCTCTGTGGGCCAATCCAGCCTGTGGCTCTCTCTCTCTCTCTGTTCAGACTCCACCATGTGCTGCACACATGTTCCCATCAGCTCTGTGAATCAGTCTTTGTGCGGAGCAGCATCCTCCTCCTCCTCCTCCTCCTCCTCCTCCTCCTCCTCTGCTCTCGCTGGTTAACCTCCATGCAAACACTGACCTCGCCCGCTTCTCCACCTGTGTAGAGAGACACCACCCTCACCCTCACGTGCAGGACAAACACCCTTGAAGAGCCGTGCACACTCGTAAAGTTGGGACATTCCTGCATGCATGCATGACAAAAATGTGATTGTGTTCATCCTCCACCTTTTCTCTTATATACTGCGACTGATCCCCGCTACCAGGCGGATTATGGAACAGTCCGGCGGCGGCAAGCTCGTGGTGCCACCTCCCATCTCCACAGTGTGTGGCCTGAGTTGGCCTTAAGAGACACCACAGGCAGGCAGGCAGGGACGACTGCTGCTCTGACAACAGCTGCAGCAAGAAGCGGATTTGAAAATTTCCACTCCCTGTTCCCATAAACAGGATGGAGGTATGGTTTACATATTATGAGAATAGAACCAAGAACGCAAATAGAGCTTCAGGGTCGATCTATGTGGAGAGTGTTCGTGCATGCGTGCAGAATGAGTTTACCTTCAGTCCTAAAGTAATGCAGAGATCAGGGAGGTTTTCTGAGGTATGAGAGAGACACTTAAATATCCGAGAAACATGATCAAAAATCAGATTAATTCATAAAACAGACCCGAAAGTATGTTTCCTCTCACCTTGTCTGCACTGATACTTTGATTACATGTCTCAGCACGGCATCTCAGAGTAGAGTCAGATTTGACTGGCAGCTTATTTGAGCAGAACACCGACTGTTTATGAGAAACCTCATATGACCCCGTTTCCTCAAGAACTCATGAGGGCAAAGCTTAAACGCCACCGCCATGTCAGAGAATATGGATGTGGTTTTTAGACAGTAATGTTCAAACAGAATAATGGACCAAACGACTGCTTTGACCCATGACCCTCAAGTCTGACCACACCCTGAGCTCAGATACCCAACAAGTCGTTCGGTATTTTTTTACTTTGGGCTTTTTTTAAATAAATTTTAAAATAGTGTGAGCTATTAGCAGTTAGCTGCACTTATAATGTAACTCACAGCTCCACAACACGATGGTGAACAGTTTTACCTAGTGATGGGAAGAACAGTTCTTTTGACTGTACTGAATCTTTAGACTCATAAAAATGATTCGTTCAAAAGATTTGTTCACTGAATCAGTCAGTGCCTCAGAGCCCAGTGCTTGGTGTAGTACACGAGTGAGTGACTGATCGCAAGTTTGTTCATCAAAGGAGCCCCTCCCCTCCCCTGCTAAAGACACAGCGTTCTTCACTTGGTGACATGTGTCGTTCAAGGAAGTCGTGAAGGGAGAATCACTCACCTGCCCTGCAAAACTCACCTTTCTGTGTGCCGCCGACGTTTGCATCGCGACGCAAGTGAAACAACACAGCAAGCAGTACGCCTGCTAAGTGAGCGCGAGTTGTCGTTCTTTTATATCCCGGAAAAGTGAAGAGATTAAAAACGAATAAACATCACAGCTGTAGCGGGGATTCTGAAACTTTTGAAGATATTAAACAGCGTGCTATTTGCTCTGAGATCGGCAGTTCGTAAACAATGCTCGTTCGTTTCGTTCACAGTCTAACTGATACATGTTGTTCATTTGCTGTAAGCACATCACGAGACTCCGCCCACTGGCTCGCTGTGTGTTGTTCGCCAAAGAGTCGAAGGTGGCAGTTCCACTTCCGACCGGCACGCCACATTCGCGGCTGAGCTCAACTGACCTGAGAGAGGAGCGAATCAGGTCTTGGAGTGATTCAGTTCATGTCGTACACTCAGCAATTTTTTTGAACGAATCGTTCATGAACAACACAACACAGTTTTTACCAGGACTGATGAGAAGAAGAAGAAGAAGCTGATAAAGTTGATAAAGAGCCTCGTTTGTACATGCAAATATGGCGGCATGAGTCTTCAACTTTCCTCACATGAAGCGGCGGTGACTAAAGTAATAATAGTCGATCAAAGTGAGACCGACTGTTCTGGAGAAGCTCCTCCTCACCTGACAGCTGACTCTCCCTCATCCTCTCTCACAAACACACAGACAGTCAGTGAACCCCACTGATAGAAGCATGTTCTCACACACACACACACACACACACACACACATGGGAATACTGCACTCATGTGAACACACTCACACTCACACACACATTTACTGGACTGACCCTTTGGCCGGACTGAGGCTCAGCACATTCTTGCAGGGCATGTTGACACCCTGGCAGGATCTATGAGGAGGGTCTGGCATTGTGAGCATTTTGTTATTCCAACGTTTCTGCTCATGTGAACGGTTCCTCCCCCCGAAACTCGGAGCCACAGACCAAATAAGACTCCAGCCAAGTATTTCACTCGCACCACATGCAGCATTAGTGGATTTTGGATCCTCACATGAATGGACGTGTATTATTACTCCTCTGGCTCAGTCCAGTTAACTGCCCGATGTATTTTCATATATTTCTGCTTAGAGTTTGGCTTCTCCGCAGGTCTCTGCGGTGAGCAATCGGCTGAAGATATGGAACTCCCAGCATGCACTGCGCAAGGGGTAAGACACTCTGGACGGCCACAAAAACATTCACACGTTTATTCACACCTGCTTCATACATTTTCAAAACAAGTGCCATCGAGTTGGGAGTAATGCAGCCCAGATAGTTTCCAAAGTGCAATAACCTTCTGACAGGGGTATGAAATTTTGCACCGCGCTCCTGAAACATTATTGGACGCTCAGTAAACAACAGCAATAACGCCGTCCAGTGCAGCCCATGGTGTTTTTTCTCGCTGACGTTCTTCTTTTAGAGTCTGGTAACAGAAAGACGCCCTTCCAAAATATTTATTTCCAGATGTTGCTGATACACAAACTTGGAAACGAGGAGTTACGTGACTAAGACGGTGCCAATTCAACTTTTTCTGAAATCCACATTTCACAGGATAAGTGGATCACTACATGAGTCTGTCACCAGGGCCGACTGTGGTGACTCTACCGCAGAGAACAAATGCAGTTTAACCACAGCTTATATGTGAGCTTGTATGTTATATCTCTGTCTGAAGGTACAAGAGAGAATCTATGACAGCAAACACAGAGTTAAAAAGAGGCAACACAACCAGCTAAGGACTGAACAAAAGATGGACAAACAACCTAAAAAAAGAGGTTAAAATAAGTGAATAATGATTTGACAGGAGTGCGAGGGTTAATAGGCACATGTTGCTGGACCTACATATGTAGAATAGAATAGAATAGAATAGAAAACAACCATACATAATAAAATCTTACAGAATACACAGAACAAAACCAAATATAACCAAATAGAATAAAAGGAAAAACATATAAAGGTCAAGTAGAATCAAATAGAAGAGAAAATAATAGAATAGTATAGAATACGATTGACTAGAATATGATATAACAGAATAGTATAGAATAGAAAAGAACCGAACATAATAAAATATTACATAATTCATAGAACTGAACCAAATAGAACTGAATAGAATAGAAATAAACAGAAAATAAAACAGAAAAGATCAAACAGAATATGAAATAACAGAATAGTAGAGAATACAATTGACTCCAATAGAATAGTATAGAATACAATAGAATAGAATAAAAAACAACCAAACAGAATAGAATAAAATAGAACAGACTAGAGTAGAAAAGAACCAAACATGATAAAATATAACAGAATTCATCGAACTGAACCAAATAGAGCTGAATCGAATAGAAAGAAATAGCAGAATAAAACAGAAAAGATCAATTAGAATCAAATAAAAAAGAAAATAGTAGAATAGTATAGAATATGATTGACTAGAATACAATATAATAGAATAGAACCATATAGAATTGAATAGAATCAAACAGGATAGAATAGAACAGAACCAGAATGGAATAGAAAAGAACCAAACATAAAAAAAATTACAGAATTCATAGAACCGAAAAGAACAGATAAAATAAAACGGAAAAGATCAAATAGAATAGAATGGAAAATAATAGAATAGTGTAGAATATGTTTGACTGGAGTATGATAGAATCAAACAGGATAGAATAGAAATGAACGGGAATATAATAGACATGAATAACTGCCATTCCCTCGGGTACATTAACACTATTTTCAGTCTGTAGCAGCATGAAGAAAAACAGATCAGTCTGAGAAGACGAAGACAAAGTGATGTTGAAGTTTCTGTCCACTGTGTCTTCAACTTTTTTAAAACTTTCTCATAAGTTAAGATTATTTGCTAAAAGTTTAGACTGTTATTTCGTATTAAGAAAATGAGTTTATTGATCAGTATAAAACTCTCAGATCTGCTGCCGTAATGTCTCTAATAGATTTCGTCCCTTTAATCTTTGAACCCGTGTCTGGATTGACCCAGTTTCTCTCCCTCACAGTTTCTTTCTCCGGCTCTGTGATGAACCTGACTAATTAGTGGCAGCTTGTTGTGACCCGGCTCTATAAATAGGCTTTCTTGTGCCTGGAGCCTCTTTTTTAGTCAGGCCCTCTCAGTGCTCTCTGAATGTCTTTACCAATGTGGGGCACAGGACGCCTAATGTCAAACACATGTGCAGAGGAAGAGGGTTTACAGCGAAGGAAAGCAAAGATTCTTCATCTTTCAAGTGATAATTACTTGATTCCTCTCTGCTTCTCTCCGCGTTGGACTTTGATCTCCTGCGAGGCGCCCTGCACAGCCAGCGTACGATTACAGAGAGCGTAATGAGTTTAAAAGCCCTATATTTCACTCTTACATGCATAATTAGGGACTCTCTTTTTTCCACGCTGCCGTATTCTCTCACTTTTGATGCCGTCTGTTTGCTGTGTTTGTGCGCGCCTGTGTTCATGCCTCCTGACACATTCGCCGCTGACTGCAGCGTGACTCAGATGCCAGTGGAACAGGGTGCGTCTCCCGCTGCCAACTGCACATATTTTCGAAGTCAAGATTTGCAAATGTCTTTCAGAGAGCCCCCTCCCTCCTAAATAGAACAAGGGTCTGTGGGAAGGAAACTGAACTCCACTTCAGAGCTGCTATTAACTCTGAATAGACTATTGTGCTTTCTGTGTGTCCTTTTTAGCAAATATCTGAAATGTCAGCGTGCGGTTCGGACTTTAAATGTAGGAAAACAAAAGCACAAAACCTCAGTCCAAAAGTACAAATTGCTCTCTTATTTGTTCCAGCGTTTTCTAAAGTGTGTTTTTTAACTTTGTGTTGACATGCTCTGAACTCTGACGCCGCAGGGTTCGGTCTCTGGCCTTGTTTGCCTCCTCCCCCCCCTGTCCTGCCTGCACCTCTCTCCATCCCCTGACCACTTCCTGCTGCCTTTGAAGCCCCGGCGCCCCTCTTTCCCGCTGCCAGACAGGATACCCCACATCCTGTGAGAGGCAGGAAGGAGCCTGCTCTGCTCCGCTCCGCTCTGCGCAACACCCCAGATGCAAAATGTGCACTCCAGCAGCCTCGAGCAACCCCTCCGCTTTCCCTGCAGACTTCCAACAACAAAAATGTAACTCCAGCGCAAAATGGAAACAACAGCGACCGCAGCGTGCTTATCAAACTGAGCAAAACATCTCCAACCCAAGAAACGTTCAAACTGAAAACAGATCAGAATCCGATCTTGGAGGTGCACCTCAAATCTGCAAGAATCTGAACAGCTGACACCAATTTGCCTGAGCCTCTTTTGGACAGGCTCGCCCATGCTTCAGTGAACGCGGGCCAGACCTCCTTCTGATGCAGAGCGAGCGGCGGTTTGGGTTGCTGCACCGATAAACCGCATGCAGATCAGGAATTTTAGTTACAAGTATTCTTCAGAGGTTTTCTGCGGCTCATACGAATGCAGAGTCAGAGACAGTCAAGAGATCAGCTTCTGTCAGACGGCGTGGGTTAATGGTGGGCGACAGCGTAAAGGATGAAGCAGAAAAAGCCATCAAGCTGTTTTCAAAGCAGGAAAAGTGTCACTCGGCCTCCTCCACGGGCCTCC